ACTTTAAAAATGCTATTGTATTATCCCCTTGCCTCCATGGGTTCTGATGACAAATCTATGGTGATTCAAATTGTTGTGTTTATGATAATGTCATTTCTCTCTAGTTTTTATCAACATTTTCTTATGATCTTTATTTTCCAGAAATATGGTGATGCTATTTATCCCCAAGGCTCGATTTCTTTAAATTTACTCTTCTTGAGGTCCTCCGGACTTCTTTAATCTGTACATTTTGTCTTTTCCTAGATTTGAAAAGTATTCATCCAATTCTTCTCTAAATATTTTTCTACCCATTCTTTTTTTTCTGAAATTCCACATACCCGTGTTAGAACTTTTGAAATTTTGACAGTCTCCAGACCTTCTATTAATTTTTTTCTATTATTTTCTGTCTTTTATATTTGATGATTTCTCTTGATATCTTTATAGTCACTGACTTTTTCATTCTTAATTTTGCTACTAAAAATATCCATTGATTTTTAAAATGTTTAATGTTGTATTTTTTAGTTGAGCAATTATTTTTTAATGTTTCCATTTTATGCTTATATTTACTGTTTTACCCATGGGGAGTTTATTTTCCATTGCCTCACTGAGCATGATTTTTATAGGTGTTTTAAAGTTCATTTCTGATAATTTCAACATAAAGTTCACCTTGGAGTTGGTATCTTTTGATTATCTCTTGCTGGAAAATAGATTCCATTTTCTTGACTCTTTGTATGTTGAGTGGTTTTTGAATTGTATCTTAGATATCAGCAGTTCTATGTTGTGGAGACTCTAAATTCTGCTACATTCTTCTAAACACTTTTTTTTTTTTTAAAGAAGGCATTTAATTTTATTAGACTGAAAATGCAAACTTTGTCACATGTCTTATGGTGATAGCTTTGATCTTAGACTGCTTTGAGTGTGCTCTGCATGTATGCCAGCAACTTTAGCGGCATTCACATACTGAAATTTGGGGTTAACCTTTGCTTACACTCTCCTTTCAGTGTACCTCTGCACTCTCCAGTGGTCTTGGTTGTCCTTGAGTGCCTTCCTGTTTCCTCCATTCGGAAGTAATGGTCAAATTTTCATTGGAGTTTTATACAACTGGTACTATCAGAGTGACTGCAGCTGCTCTTGGATCAAAGATACAAACATTTTTAATTAATTCCATGCAGATCTGATCCCTTCCCTCTTTCTTTCTTTGAAGATGCTCAGATAATTAGGCTTTTCTTCTAAAATAAAATATTTTTCTAGGGTTTATATTTGCTTTTCCTGAAAGATACGTTTGTTAGGAAATCAGTTCTTTACTACAGAAATGGGAATTATGCATTGATTTAAAAAATATATCTAAAGGCACTAAGGTCTCACTCTAAAAGGGTTTTAGGTTATTTGAATGTGATATTTAAATATAACTCAGTTTTTGTTGTAAAACATTTCTAGGATTGCTTAAGTATTCCTGATAGAGGCAAATGCTATGGCAAATGAGGTGTTTACCTAAAACAACCATCTCCTTAATACTGGTAGCTGTTCAAGTAATTTTTTCAAAGACATATTTAGTTTTATAATGAAGAAAGCAAATTTAAAATGATGTGTCCTGATTTTTCTCCATAGCTTTATGTCAGCCTTTTCTTACTTGAAGTTACATTTAGCAATTTAAAATAATAATAAAATCCATTTACCCAGTAGACAGGCATTTAGAAGCAACCACCATTTAGTATATAGTTAAAACCCTCAATTCCCAAAAAAATTTAATAGGGAAAGGGAATAGGTAACAAATAGGAAAATCTCTAGCTTTACCTAATAAAGAAATTACTGTTGGCTCTACTTTTTGCTATGTTTTATTTTATAAAAAAGGAAACATTTGAAAAGATAGAAAAATATAGGAAAAGATTATATATTTGATATTATAAAATTTTAAATAAGGGAAAGTTGATGGAGCAAGTCACACTGGAGGAAATCAGTGTGGTTTGATTTTTTTCATTGATCCAAAAAGTATTTCAAAAATTTCACACTTACACATTAAAAAAAAAAGGTTTAGCACTAGGAGAAAAGTACAGAATGGAAGAAGGTGAAGGAAAATCATCATGATTTACAGTTTATATGATTTTCTACATCAGATCTACAAAAGAATGTATTTGCAGTCTCTTACAGCTAATAAGAGGGCTCCGAGAAAGAAAGTGAACAATATATAAAAATTAGTATTTCTGTGCCCAGCATTAACCAATTAAATGATAAACTTTAAAATTGTTCCATTGCTGTTTATAATAGTGTTAAACTCCAAGTTACTTAAAAAAAAAAAAACATGGAAAATTAGTACAGTGAAAATAATAAAATATTTTGAGATACCTGAAAGAAGTTCTGAATGTAGAGAAATAATCATTATGAAATGTCAATATCAAGATACCAATTATCTTTAAATTATAAAGACAATCTCAGTCTTAATTTTTCTGAGTTGTATAGAAATTTATAAATTAATTTTGAAATACATGTGGAAGAGTAAAGGGTAAAAAAATATCCAAGATCATTTTGAGTGTGTAATAAGAGACTTGGCCACTCAGATATTGTATGGTTACTAAATTATAGTTTAAAAATGTGGTCTTGGTAAAATATAGGAAAATATATCAATGGAGAATTGAGAGGGCTCAGAAACAATAGACACATTCATGTGGGAACTTGGTATATTGACAGAAGTAGCAATGTGGGTTAACGAGAAAAATGGGGATCGTTACAGGAATTTAGCTGTAAAAGATGGCTATAAGGAAAAAGTTGACATTGAATTGCCTGAGTTAAAGAAAAAATTAAAGCAAAACCAACATTGAGACAGAATAAAGATCATACACGGTTATCTTTTAGAAGAAAACACAAGGAAATAGCTGTATTAACTTAAGGTAGAATATGATTTCTTAAGTAGAACACTGAACATTAGAGGCACAAATCCTCATGTAAAATACTAATAGATTTTATTACATAAAACCGCTATTTCAGCCCATGTTTGCATTGATAAGGGAGTAGAGTCGACAACTTGCAAAGCATTCATTTGAGTGGGAACTATATTAGTTAAAATAAATGTACTTGATTTATGTATACACCATGAAAAGAACAATAAAACATACTATTGGGTAAAATATTTGCAGAACAATAGGAACATTTTTATTTTGTTTGTTATTCCTAATATATACCTAAGGTGCCCTCAGGTGGGAAAAATTCACATCAAATTTAGGACAAGGTTGCCTTTAGAAGTGAGAGGAATAGGACTGAGGAAGGTTGACAAAAATAACATGAGTGTCTATGCAAAACATCTTTAAGTATTAGAAAATAAAATACAACAACACGGTTTTACCTCAGTGAAGGAGTTTCTCCCAGAAATACAAGATTGCTTCAAATTATGAAATTACAAATACAATACATCACCATATTGATGTCTTTAAATGAAAAGGATAGAACCATCCTTATCTCAGAGGATACTGAAAGAACAGTTAGCTACCAACCATTCTTGATTTTAAAAATTATACCCTTGTTAAAATTGCTGGACAAATTTTTGTTTAAAACATGTTTTTATTAGGTTTGGAACAGATATGAAAGAGTATTTATAAAACATTTCAAAGATATAAAGAATAATGATCACCTATATGTAAATTTTCTGGTATTAAAAATGGTTTGTGTGTGTGTTCTTAATGTGATATGATTTATCACTCTAGAAGTATTTTCATTAAAGCCAAGAATTAAACAATGATATCCTTCTGAACAGTTTAACAATTTTTTGTAGGAGTAACGAAATCAAGCAGAAAAAAACAAAGTTACAAATAAAAGAGAGGAAACAGAAGAGGATCCTTATTTGTAGATTATGTGACTATATTCTTAGAAACCTCGCAAGAATGAAATAAACTATTTGATACAATAAAGAATATTCAGTAAGGCTGCTAATGTTAAAAACATATATGTAAATTATTTGCTTTTATATGTAAATAATGACAAGTTTGAAAAACATAATGAAAGAAGTGATTTTATTTACAATGGGCACCAAAAATATAAAAGCAATATATGATAGCCACAAAGAGAAAATTTTTAAATGTTAGAAAAAGTTTTTAGCAATAAAACAGTATTGCTTTTGGAAAGGAAGATTTCATATTTAAGATGCAGTAATTTGCCTTTTCTAAGTTGATATGTTATAGCAGTGACTTTTTCAAGCACTTACAGACAGCTGATAACCACAAATTATCTTATTTCATCTTCTAGACTACCTGTGAGTTTGAAAAGAAAGTGAGACTCAAATTTTGAAGTAATTTACGCAAGATTTCACTCCTGCCTCATAATTAAAAGGTGTTCTCACCTTATTTATCCTAATTAGTGTGTTTCTTGGAGGTGGAACCATCTCGTTTGCATTCATGTCTCTAGTAACCATTGTAGCATAGGCAGTTGGACTCAGTCTGAAATCACTTGCCTTTCTATGTGAGGAGTCACAAATTTCAGAGGTTGACAGAAATTGGGCAGCTAAAAGAATACCTTTTCTGATGTAGACAATGCTAGCCAATCATTTTCTTGTGTCCATATAGTCTCAAAATTGGTAGATTTTAAGAATTTTAACAAAAGTTTGGAAATTCAAAGTCTTTCTCTGAAATATTTGGATTTTTCAATATTGGCAGCCAATTGAAAAAGTAATGGCTTTCTCCTGTTCAAATAAACCTCACTTTTGGCCAAATTGGGCCTGTGGCCTGCCTCTTTGTGACCTTGGACTTTTTCCATACTATTTTCCATAAATTCTGGCACACTAAAATCCATGGGCTTTTCAGGTATGAAGCTACTGTATCTGTCTATTCCAGAGCGTGGCTAACCAGCTCTTTCTATACTACCAGTTCTAAAACTGAGTTGATCATTGTGTATGTGTGTGTGTACCTGTTTGAAAATGTTTCTGAAAGTGACTAGAGATAGCCCAATTGAATCTCCTTATGTCAATGTGTAGGAATTTGATTGCTCCCCTAGTGTTTTATCAAGCAGTCATGTGTTCTTATTTGTCTTTCAATCAGGTATTTTTGATCACTGTCTGGAATTTTGAGCTATATATGATCCCTTTGGCATTGTTGCTGATCTTTGTCTACAATTTCATCAGACCTGTGAAAGGCAAGGTCAGCAGCATCCAGGACAGCCAGGTAAGCAAGGATTCAGAGTTCTGACATTTGACTGCCGAGAAATGTGTTAACAACAAGAAACTACCACCACCACCAAATCATGGCCCAAGTCCATTTCGTTTGAGATGTCAGGCAGCCCTACAAATGCACTCATTTTGCAGTGGAGGTCTTCTATCATGTGTAATCTGGAGTCTTCTTTCTGTGGCATCTTATGTTCCTGAGTCTTGGCCTGCTTGAGGGGAGCCTCTGGTTCATGGTTATTATTTCCATGCTGGTAGCACATGTCTGTGTGCTCATATGATTCTCTGTAGAGTTCCTGTGAATAATCTCCTCAATCACTAACGAGACCTTTGCTGCCTCTGTGGGCCGTTGCTGGGCATGCAGAGAGCTCTGCAGTGCTAACTCTGGCCTTTCCGTGAAGGTATCTTATGCAGTGTTCTCTCTGGCTTGAAGGCTCAGGAGATTCGCAGAGGCTTGTCAACTCCCAGGGCAATCAGAGAGCGGGTGGGCTTAGACCCGTCTATTTGCAGGTGCCCACATTTGTCTGGAAATTCCCAAACTTCCTGTCTTGTTGAAGAAAGCAAGACCCTTTCTCAAAGACATCACTCCGCATTTACTCATCCCACTTCCACTCTGACTCTCCTGCCCCTGGCCCCCTCACTGCACCCCATAAGATCTTTTTCTGCTCTAGGTGGCCAGGAACTTGTATTTGTAGGCTTTTTTTTTCTTTAATGATGTAATCTAGGCATTCCAGATTCAAGAACCAAGTTTTTTAAACAAAAATCTAAAGTCCTCAGACTTGATTAATTTCCTTTCTAGATAGATCAACTTCATATTTGGTTTCCCAAGAGTCAATCAAATCCTGACTATTTTTGTTTATTTTTCCTTATGTCCTCATAATGGATTTAAGGGAGGTTTCTGGTTTCACTTAGGAAGGAAGGAAAGTGGGAAAAATGAGTACTGTGGCAAGAGGAAAATTTCAAAATTTACTTTCAGGCAATTTCAAAATTCTATTCTGTTTGATTTTAATTATTTAATGCAATAGGCATGAACACATATCAGTGAGAAAATAGAACCAGCTAATAAATGAATGACTTTAATAGATCCATTTATGGACTAGGTTTCACAGAGTTATAGATAATGAAAATTTTTACAAAGAAACATCTCTAATATCTGTGTTGTCAACCAACATTTTTACAATGTTTACGCAGGTTTTATGTGCCCACTGTGTATATCATATATGTTTACAGTATGTGCATATGTGTGCATGTATGTGTGAGCATGTACATATACTGGCATACATGTGCATATTAATATACCTATGTGCACATAAGTGTGTATGTATAAAGCCTTAATTTATCAAACATTGAAAATAATTACCTAATTTAGTTCTATAACACAACTATGAAAGAGGCAAGAACTATTTTCATTTTATGTCTTGTGAAACTACAGTGCATATGACAAAGTGATTTGCTTAAAGTCACAAAGGAAAAACTATTGGAACCACATCCCAAGCTAAAGACTTCTCCTAATTACAGCGTTTTTTCCCTCCCATAGCCTGTTTTCATTACCTTCCTGTTTATCTACTGGCTTTCATAAGACATGTTTGCTGCCAGTTGTGAATAGGTTAGTTCCCCAGATGACCCATGAGTACCACACAAACTGCTAACTGGATCTTGTGAGAATCCTAGAAGGCAGGGCTATACTGGCCCTGAAGAAACTTCTTGATGACTGCTCCGTGGTTTTATGGAATGTAGCAGAGTATTCTCTGGATACTTCAGAGTTACTCCTTTTTAAGAGCATGATATTGACAATTCTTTTTACTATTGGAACAATGACATTTGAACAGCATGCCTGACCTTTGCAAGGTTAAGCCGAAATGCACGTGTTCAAGCTGAAAATAGAACCTGTTGTCTAATACTGAGCTTTCTTTCCAAACTACTGACCCTATTTTATCATGTACCAACAGATATTAGTTTTTAAACATTGTGGTGCTATGATCAAACTCTGGCCATTAAATAGCCAAGATTTTTACATTAAACAAGCCCATTAGCAGTACAGCTAGTGCTGTGGCACCTGAGCTAAAGCCAGGCACCCTTTAGTCCAGCTCTGAGCCTTGAGTTTCCTTCCCTCACCTGCCCCTTCTAACCCTAAACCCAGAGCAAAATAATAATGCCACAGAGAAACCTGTAACTTATTCTTAAGGTTGATTATATTCAGACTAACGCATTTTATACTGTCTAATGTTTCAGTAATGGCCCCAAAGGGAGACAGCAGTCATTATAATAGCAATGAGCCTAGCACTAGTGGAGTATGGTATTCTCAGCCTCAACGCAGCAGTTGGTTCATTTGTCAGAATAAGAACAACACTGTTTACAGAAAGTACAACTCAGCAATGCATTTTTAAAGCTGGCTGCCTTCAAAGGGCACTGGCCTAATAGTTTTATTTATAGTCAACAGTTTTAGGTAGATGATGCTTATTGTCTAGAGTCCTGCCACAGTGTCCCTGAACTTTAAAAGAGTTATTTTTTAAGAGGTTATAATGCATTTCAAAAATGTGAATGCTTAAAGTCTGTAGGCAAGCTTTACAATGTGTCTAATTTGCGTTTGTTAATTTCAGTTGATGTTTTTATAAACACGTTGTGGGATTTCCTTTCAGGAGAGCACAGACGTAGATGACGAGGAGGATGAAGATGACAAGGTGCGTATGTTCAAGAAAGAACACAAAAAGACACTAGTGTTGTCAACAGATAGCATTCCTCCAGGTCGAATCTCTCTCCCCCCCCCCGCCTTTTTTTTTTTTGTATTATAGAATTACCAGTATAGTAATATTATTGTAACTTTTTAAAAGGATATCCATTTTTAAGATTTTTAAAGTGACGTTGAAAAGGGTAAAATAGAAGGAATAATTGAAATGTTATAAAAAGCATAACTATAGGAGGCCTTTTATTGGATGCAAGCCAAGATTAGCCTTCCCCTTCATAGATAAAAGGTAGCCTAGGAAGTCAAAAGTAAATCAAGTGAAATTGCTGTTTCTTTAGGCTCATGTCTGCACTCTGTGGGGTGGTCACCCACTTCTGTGCCTGTCATTTTCCCAGCTGTTCCTGGCAGTGTTTTCAGCTATATGTCTGTGTACATCTGTCCTTTTCCTTCTCCTGGGAGAATCTCTCAAATCTGCTGCTTTTGTTGTCATTACGCTTTCAGACAAACCTTCTGGAATAAAATGAAACAAGTGAAATGCCAAATGAAATGCCACTAGCTTAATGGACTTCCAGTCCCCTTAACCTGTGGGTATCTGGGGCGAGGGATGGTAACATGTAGGAGGCTTGTGGAGAGAAAAGGGCAAAACGGGAAACCTTGAGAGTAAGTATCCCGGGTAAATGCCCATTGAATAGAAATGTATTCAAAGACACTGGCTCTATGATACAAAGAGCCTTAAAATTAATTGAGTGGACCAGATGGTTTTGCCCATTTGAAGCAAATGGGGTGGATTACAAAGTAAATCTTATTTGTTGTGTTCATTAGGATCATTAATAGCAAAATAATAAAATCAACTATAATACTTTTAAAGGAAAAATGACCTTTTTCAGAAAAGGGGTTGCACAGATGCAAGTTTCTTCTTGATGTCTTCATGTTAGTGGTTTCTGAGTGATTAAATCATTGAATATTGTCGAAGGAAAGCTAAGTTAATAAGGTTTATAATGGGATGTTTTACCAAAAAAACAGAAGTATTAATGAAATTATTTTAAACCTGTATGAGGTGATAACTACAAGTCTAGGCCTCCTGTTCTTCAGACTGGCCAGCTATCAGGTGGGGGTTCCCACAACCCCTTTCTTGGATTCAGTGAATTTCTAGAATGACTCACAAAATTTAAGGAAATATTTACTTATATTTACTGATTATTACAAAGGACACAACTCAGGAACAGCCAATTGGAAGAAATGCACAGGGCAATGGATGGGGGAATGGGTGTGAAACCTCCACACCCTCTCTGGGCACACCCTAGAAGCTTCATGTGTTCACCAACCCAGAAGCTTCCAGAATATGGTATTTTTGTTTCTATGGAGGCTTCATTACATGGCATAATTGGCTAAATCTTTGGGCATTGGCGTTCACATCAATCTCTGGCCCCCTCTTCCTTCCCTGCAGGCCAGAGCTGGGGAGGACTGAAAGTTCTAAACTTCTAATCACATGGTTGGTTCCCGTAGCCACCAGCTCCCCCATCATTAGAGGCTTTCCAAAAGTCACCTCATTAACAGAAATCCAGATGTGGTTAAAAGGGGCTTGTTATGAGTAGCAAAAGATCTCCTCTCACCTTTCTAGCTCGAGCTATTTTAGCAAGTGAGGACAAAACCAAATATTATAGCAAAGATGTTCATATCTCTCTTATCACTTAGGAAACTCCAGGAATTTTAGGAGCTTTGTGCCAGGAACCAGGGACAAAGAACAAACATACATTTCTTATTATATTACAACGTCACATTAGGCAAAATTCTAAATATTTATAAACCAGGCCTGGATGAAAGGAAGATTTCTTCCTGTTTGGCCAAGCCTGTTTAAATGAACCACCAGTAGAAGAGGATGTCCTCTACGCTTTAGGAATAACTGTGACCATGTGTCTTTGGGCCATCTAATAAAGGAGAGTATCCAACAAGAAGATGAATGGAAACATGGTATTCAGTGACTGGCAAGCAACAAAATGAGGTCATAGTCAAGACCAGTGGTTGTCAAGGTCTAGTCTATCACTGATGCACTTCAAGAGCTACCTAAAGGTCTGAAGAGACAGCCCTTTGATCTGTGCTTTAAAACTGTCTGGGCAAGGATGACTGAAGGAGTTGGAATGGCAGCATCCACAGGGATAAGCCTGGAAGCTGTTGCATTCATCTCAGCATGGCCCAACCCATACCAGTTGAGCCCACCTGTCCCACGTTGAGGGCACTGGCACTAGGGTTTTCCTCAGTCCCCCCAGGGAAAATTTATTCTTAACATGTTTTTACTATAGTATTTTAATAGCACTTTTTAATAGACAAGTATAACCATGGTGGTTTTGCTTTTCCAATTTTATATTTCTATGAAATCTTCTAGAGGAATAAATCTAAAATGATATTTTGACTTCTGTTTATGTCTCTCCTGCTTAACATAACCCTTCTATTGTTAGGAAAGATGGGCAAATTTTTCCATCCTTGTCCATCTCTTTTCATTCTTCCTTCTGTAAGGGATTAATAAACTAAAGGGATCTTCAACTTTCAGACTTTTTGAGTGCACATCCACATATGTATTACAGCACTTGGTTTCTTCTCTGTGTAGATCAGCTTCTACCACTGAGATGTGCTTGTCATAGACCAGGACATACAGTCACTGGGTGACTCCCCATCATAGTGAGCTGGAAGAAAGGTCTTATCCACTGAGCCCTTCTGGCTTCTGTTGTATGTTAGACATGACAGACCATGCTTCTGGGAACTGTAACACACTCAGTGAGAGATGAACTGTTTACAAATTATAAACACACAGCCATTTTGTTCAAAACCAGAAGAGGAGAGAAACTCCTTTCTACCCAAAGCATCCATCTTGAAGGTGACACTCTTTAATTGCTAGTGCTCCTTCCCACCAAATACCATCAAGGACGACTGTGGAAGATAAAAGCATGCCGGGGCCTGTTGGCACAACTTCCTTGGGAGATGAATGCTTTGCCATGTTCTGCCTGTCTCTCATGCACAGACCAGGACACTGTCTGGGGTCTGTCATTCTTTTATTGTCTGGAACAGGGATTATTGTAAAATGACATCACTGTAACCCCTTGTTCCTTAGCATTGTGAAAAGTTCGTGGTAGTAACTTGTATTAGAAACCAGATTAGACTTCACAGTTTTGCCTTTTCTTTTGTGGATTTTCAGTGGTAACATAGAACTTTCAGGTAACTAGGTTTTTGCCTTTTAGGAGATGAAATGTACAAGCTCAACTTTGAAGAGAGGAAATCCTCCTTTCTAATACCTGATGGCTCATGTAAGAAATTGCTTGTTACAAGTCTAGTTTTCTAGGGACTCCAGAACAAACAGATAATAGCTAAGTTCAGCCAACAGCAATCAGTTGACATTTCCTATTTGTATTAGATTCCATATGTGGAATCCTTCCAATGTGGACCTTATTTGTACGGATGGATTACAATGAAAATTGCATTAATTTTCTACACAGTAAAGGTCAGTAATTGAAGCATGAACCAAGAAACTATTGTGTAAAATGCTGTATCCCATACTTAGGAAAGGTCATGCAAGACAATAATATCTTGTTTTCATTACAGAAGGTATAAATACTTGCATTAGAGTTTCTTTCTTTTTCCAGCCCAACAATCACTTACATAGAATATTTCAGCATTTTCTATTAACATCGGGAAGAAGGAATCATAAGGGCATGTAATAAAAGAAAAAAAGCCCTGCTTAATGCTATCAAAAAGAAACAGTGCTCTAAGGCTTGCATTGTGGGTTGGTTTGTTCATAACTAGGTTGTCAGAAATAGGACTTGAATGATCTGTCCTTTTAGGATCATCAATGAAGTCACAATTGCCTGACAGTGTTTATGAAAAACAATATGACCCTTTTATATCAGTTGTAGATGAAAAACAGATATGGACATTTTCCTTTAAGAAAATAAGAAACATCCATTTTTGTTGATTGATTGAGAAGCATATTATAATGGAAGGATGCAAATGAATATTGTATCTATATTCTATTTTCACAAATTAGTTTGTCATTAAAATTTAAGTACAGTTTAAACTATCAATTTCAGTGTTTAAAATGATTTTCCATCCTCTAAATTGATTAACCAGTCCCTTCCTCATTGCCCAGACAGGGCCTTCTTAGTGGGAGAAGCACATGGCATGTATCTAGAAGGAGTTCTCACTGTGAATTAACCTGTAGAGTCCTTTGGATGATGTGGTTAAGTCCACCGTGCCTCATTCCCTGTGTTTCCTTGTGCCAGAGAGAGAGAGGAGATGATCTATAACATCCTAACCAGAGAAAACTCTTGTTCATGGAGGTCTTCTTACAATCTAACAACAAGAGTAGTTTTGTCTGTAATTCATTTGTGCTTTTTTTTTTTTTTTTTTTTTTTGAGACAGAGTCTCGTTCTGTCGCCCAGGCAGGAGTGCAGTGGTGCCATTTCAGCTCAATGCAACCTCTGCCTCCCAAGTTCAACTGATTCTAGTGCCTCAGCCTCTGGAGTAGCTGGGACTACAGGCATGTGCCACCACACTGGGCTAAGTTTTGCATCAGAGATAGGGTTTTACCACGTTGGCCAGGCTGGTCTGAAACTCCTGGCCTCATGTGATCCGCCTACCATGGCCTCCCAAAGTTCTGGGATTACAAGCATGAGCCACCATGCCTGGCCTGTTTGTGCTTTCTTCAGAATGTCTAAAACATAGTAAATTGGTTAGATTAGTAATTTTTAAAACTATGACATAAGCAGTGATACTTACAATGATAAAGTGTAGTATTTTTAAGAAAATAAAAAGCCAGAGAGTATCTTTGAATGGTTAACAATAGTTGCACATGCATACACTCACCTTCAGGGATATACAATTTATATACAGGGCATATTGTAAAAGACCTGCTTATGGATGATTTTCAGGGGAATAAAGTGTATGGGCATTCTAATTTAAGTCCTTTTAATTTGATTTAATATGGTTTTTAGTGATGAAGTGACTTAA